CTTTTCTATACAAGAACAGCAACCTGATTCAAAACATATTTGCAAATAAAATGCCTTGGCCTTTCACATTTAAAGGTGTTTTTTTCCAGTATTGCACAGCTGGATCACACACCTTTTCTCTCAAGTAGGAACAGAATGTTATCAAATTTTTCTTCTCCTATCTGTGTCTTTAAGAAGTGAAGAGGGACTAGAAAACTTCTGGAAGATTTAAACTTAGTGAGCTGTGTCTGTTTTCAGTTGTGTCCTGGAGAAGTGTCTGATGCCATAAAGTGTCTCATCAAAGCCCAGCCTCGAGAATATGCATTTCAGCCAGTGCTGGGGTAAGCATTCCACCTTGTTTCCAGCAACATCTCACCTGTTTCCAGCTGGCCCTTGAAAGGCAGGAGGTGGTGTTTACACCCCTGGGCCGTGGGGTCAGGTCACACGATTAGAAATACCAGGTCATGAGCAGAGTGGTGTAAACAACCCTGTTCCAACCTGAGCAGAGCCTGTTTCAGCTGCTGAGCTGACTTCCCTGGGATCCCACCGTGTCCTGACAGTTGGGGTGAGGCTTCACACTGGCTTGTGGGCACAGCCTTGAGCAGGGGGACCTGAGAGAAGCTGTGGGTCAGTGATCCCACTCCACAGGACAATGCCACGCTCAGCAGGCCCTCGGAGCTCCTCAGTACAGTGTGTCTGTGTTGCAGGAGTGGGGTCAGGGACCCTCTGTAGTGACCTTGCCATAGGCATCCACTCTGCTCCGGGCACTGCTTTAGTCCTGCAGTTCTCTGGCTGCTTCCCGTGCTGAGCCCATGCTGGAATGCCCAGGGAATCACCCTGGGCACACGCTGGGGATCAGAGGCAAGCGGTGACAGTGCAGTGACACTGTGAGCTAGCAGGAACCACTGTAATTGTAACTTCCTCACAGGGAAGAAGGAAAGCACAAAGTAACTCCAGCTGTTCCCTCCTCCTGGGGCTGCAACAGTGCTGGAGCAGTGATGTTCCACCCTGACCTGCGGGGTCCTGAAGTTTATCAGAGTCACAGAGCCACTCTCTCTCCTGAACAGAGTGCAGGGAGGCAAAACGCCGGACACTCCCCAAGCCTCGGGTCTGCAGTTGTATCTACAGCCTGTAAAATTTAAGGACTGCTGATCTGCAGCCAGGATTTATTGCCCCAGTGCTGGGGAGGAGATTCCTGCCCTTTCAGCACAGCTACTCAGGCTGTGCCTCTGGGTGAAATTTGCCAGTGTTGCTTCAGGATTTAGTGAAATATTTGAACACATTCAGTTACCCTAGTTTAATCTGATGCTTACACATTTTGCTGTATCCTGATATCCTACCTTGAAATTCCTCAGCTCCCAGAGATTTCCAGTGAAAGATAAGGACATTGAACACCTCAGAATATTTATCATACCTCAAAGAACTTATCCCTGCATAAGTAGTACTTGGGTTAGCTTCATCATTATCAGCTGTTTGACTACAGAGATAGAGGGTAGTGCTTCTCAGTGATGGAAAACAAGTTGAAGTGAGGCAGAAAAACCTGTGATAAATTAGTGTGGAGAGCATTAATGGGGCCAAATGTCCTGAGTTTATTGAATTAGGGAAGTCAAACTAATTTTAAAATTAAACCTAGAGAGTGGGAGACTAGATACTGTTGGCACAACAGAAAAGTCCTAATGGCTGTTGTCTCAGCACATTAGGAAAACACTGTCAAAGCTCTTGCTGACAAGATGCTTTCTCAGGGATTATTAATTATATTGCATTATTAGCCAGGCATGGTATGAAAACATGTTTAGCATGTTACTAAAATGCAATGACCATTTAGCTAATAAGTTTGACTTGGTCTTTTAAATTTTCTTAATGATTAGCAACTTAGTAAAACTGTAATGGTGAGAGATAAAAATAATGATTCAACAAGCTGTGTCTCAAGAACAAGTTTTAACTGGAACTTGGATGTAGCAAGGACAGATAAAGTGTACAGTCCTAATTATCAGCCTGATGGGACGAGACAAAAGTAAACATATAGTCAGATTTAACTAACTCTAATGACCCCATCCTGTGCTGGCATATGGTTAAAGTGCTCTTGTAACAGTAAAGCCCAGCTTGATCCTTCACTGCAGCCATGGGGAGGACAAAGGGCCAGCAATGCCTTACTCTGTCCCAGGCTGAAAGGAATAAACTCCCTTACCTTCCACATAGCAGCTGCTGCAAGGAAACACAGGTTGAGACTCCATTTTCCTTAGGTGCCTTTGAACCCCCAGACGGCTCTTCCAGGAAGTTCAGTGTTGTAACCGTGGGCAATATTAATATTGTGGGCTTTGTTAAACTGATTTATGTGTTGCACTATAGTAACTGAACTGGGCTTTCTATTGTCATTCACCAGTGACACAGGAAAACCAGGACTGACTGCTCAATGTTGATCAATAAGGCCCCTCACTGCTGAGCTGCTGGCAGAGTCACTGATGCCCCCCCCCGCAATAGCAAAAAACTTAGCAGAATTTTAGGAAATAAATTTATACGCCCTGTATGATCACAGGGAATCCAGCCTGACTGGACCCTCAGAGCAGCAGCAAATCTGCTTTGAACCTCGCTTCTCCCCAAATGCTCCTCCTGCCTCTCGTGCCTACAGAGGCCCCAGCACCAGGTTTTAGGCTGCACCAGCCCCATGCAAGCAGAGGTGCTTCACAGTGGGAGTGAAGTGGGCAGTGTGGACAGCTGGGGCCAGACACTGGCACCCCTCCAGTCAGGGTTCATCCAGCCCAAAGCCAGCTGCCACGGCTCCAGGGCTACCTCCAACCCCAAGTCTCAGCTCTGGACCACCTGTTTCAAAGGGATTTAGCTGAGGGCTTGCACAGCTTTTACCACCTGTGGAGCAAATGTGTCCTGCTCGAGAAATAGCTCCCATCTGGTATTGGATGTATGTCTGAGATGTACAGGGAGGGAAAAACAGCAGCACAAGCCATCTCATGCCATAGATGTTGTTCATCTTTTATCTAACAGACCTAGATAACAATGCTGAATAGCAAGAATCCTCTTTTTTAATCCTTTTTGTACATTCAGATGATCCATTATATTTAACTTATGGTAAACATAGCCAGTGGAGAGCTCCTGAGCCTGCCGTGGCTGTTGGTGTCACCTGGGGGGACCTGTGTGCAGCACACAGAGGGACAGCTCGACACAGACCTGTGCCCCAGCTCTGCTGCTCTCTTCCCATCCCTAGCCTGGGATCTGGTTCCAGCAGCCCTGCACGCCCCGTGTCAGAACCAGGTCACCCACCACTGCAGCACATGACAGCACTGACCCAGTTCTCCTCTAGTTAAATCCCAGCAGTCACTCCAGCAAAGCCTTTGGTGCAATCTTACTGCTTCAGTGCACACACCAGGGGCAGGCATTTCTGCCAGTGGACCTTGTGGCTGCACTTCCCATCACTTGGAAGAGACCAGAGTGTGCTGTAGGGTCTTAATACCAAGACAGTAAATTCTACACAGGAAAAAAAGTTCAGGCACATAGAAAGGAGCATGAACCTCCCCTAAAACCAAACCCATAGCAGCACTGTGATCCTCCTCAGATCATCTATTTTGTGCTTTTCATTATGCTCTATCCTGTTACATTTTGGCTACTGCTTCACCAGCAGCCACGGTGAGCACACAGTGACCAAGCAATGCCAGTGTTTCACCTGTAAATAAATAATGGGTTTCTACCCTGAGAAAGTTGCTAAAAAGTAACCTGGTATCACAACAAGGAACATGCAAATCTTAAGCAGAGAACAGGCCTTTACAATGGTTCCAAAATATGCCCCCAAAAAAGGAAGAAGAATCCTTGGAGTTTGATTCTGCCACATAAAAATGTCTCATAAAGAAGCAAAAGGAGCACAAACAAGACTGTGGAAATGGCATGACCTCCTGCTTGCACACTATCTTGACTGAACACATCCAGCCAGCAAAATGCTAAGTGATGCAAAATGGGAGTTAGGTAAGTGGCACCTTCCAGTTAACCTTCCAATACCCATTTCTTCTTTCAGTCATCATTAATTGTTACTCAATGAGCAGCCTGAGCCTTTGGCTGGACCTGGAGGCTGTGGGTCTTGAACGCTGTATGAAAGGAAGGGAAGGAAGGTACAGATGGGGAAGGAGGTGCCCTGGCAATGGTCACACCATGGAAGGGGTAGCAGCAGGGCTCAAGTCTCCTTACATGGAGGCCAAGAGTGCCCAGGCCTTTTGTGTGGTCAGTGTTGTGCTGTGCCTTGTGTTGCAGCTGGGAGAAGGGGGAGAGGCTTCCTGGGAGGAAAGAGAGAACTAAATAATTTGGCTGAAATGTAGGAAAAGTGCCCATCAGCCCAGCCGCAGTTTCTAAGATTCTCAAAAAAATTATTGCAACTGAGTAAAATCTTACGAGATCAGACAGCATTTCCATAATGCACAGATAGCAAAGCATGGGAAAGTACATCCCAGCCAGTTCAGGTGGGATCCACCTCTTCCTCTGTAGAACCAAGAGTAAGGGGGTGTTTGCTCCACCTGTTTTCCTTAGCACCTGAGGTGATCAGTGCTGTGTGCTGGTAGCACAACTGCATGAGCAGTTGGATTTTAAAGGCACCAGGTCACTCAGCAAAATGAAGCAGAGAGATGGGAATAAAAAAGTGAAAACATGAGGCTGCAGCATCAGCCAGCCCCTCTTTCCTTCATTTCAGCTAAGAGACAGCCCTGCTCAATGCCATCTGGTAAGATCACTGTCCCACTGGGCTCTTCCAGAAGGGCATTGAGATGGGCATGTACCGTACTCCTCCTGTCCCTTCCCTAGGTCTTCCTGCAGCCCAGCTGTCCCAAGTGTCTCAGAGGAAAATTCCAGGTTAGCACCTGTGGCAGGGTGGTGTGAACCACAGCAGCCAGAAGAAATCCAATGGATGGGTCCTCTTGGTCTGCCAGCTGCAAGGTTTTTGTGAAATGAGACTTTTGCCCAACATTCTTCCCATGGTGCCTGAAGGAGGTGCATGCCCCGTCCCTCCTTTCTGGGTGCATGAATGTCTATGCCTCCTCGCTGCTTCGCAGGTCTTGCAGCTCAGTCATGGCTTTGGCCGAGAGCTTCTTGCGGCGGAACACAGCTGCAATCTCCTCAAAGGACTTTCCTTTCGTCTCCGGTACTTTGAAGTGTGCAAACAGGAAGAAGATGAGGAGCAAACCCGCAAAGATTGCAAACACATATGGTCCACACAGATCCTGCAGTGGGAGAGTGAGAATGGGGAGACCCACCATCAGCACCACAGGGATGGCTTCCCCTTCCTACCCTGGCTGGCTGAGGTGCCCAGCCAGACTAGGGCATGGAGATCTGGGAGGCACATTCACATGGGATCGTGCCAGTCATTTATTTGTATGATTTAAGAGGATTCTTACTGCTATGTACTGGAAACACATTCCCACTATGAAGTTGCAGGCCCAGTTGCAGAAGCCGGCGACAGCGATGGCGGCAGGGCGTGGGCCCTGGCTGAACAGTTCAGCTACGATAAACCAGGGGATGGGCCCAGGCCCCACTTCGAAGAAGATGACGAAGAGGAAGATTGCAACCATGCTGACATAGCTCATCCAGGCAAACTGGCTCTGCAAGAAGTTGGTGTTATAGTCCCAAAGTAACTCTCATTAATTATCAATAATTACTTTATTTAGGCTTCTTTTTCAGAAATTCCTTTCTATTCAGACAAAGGGGAGCTGGACATGAATAATTAAGGTTTTAAACTCTTGTGCCAGGTACTGGCTGGACATTTGGTGCCAGCATTGCTGCCTGGAGGAGTTCACAGCAATCAGCTCAGCTGTTACTTTGAGCCCTCTCCTTACCTGCAGCTCAGCCAAATGATGCAGAATGCCACCCTTTAATAACCAGGGTGTTCAGCAAAGGAGTCCACCCCTTATTTGCTTTTTAATCTTGACAGGGGCTTGCAGCAATGGTTTGGGCTGACTTTGATGGGATCTTCTTTTGTTTTCAAACCAGGGAGAAAAAATGGAGAGAAATCCTTACCAGGAGCACAAGCCCAACTGTCATGGCCACGGCGCTGATTAACATGCCCATCAAACCTGCCAGGAACAGGGACCGCCTGCCCGCCTTCTCCACCAGAAAGACCTGTAGAAACACATGCAGGAGCTCAGTGTCCAGCACCACCACTCTCAGGATCAGGTCCATTAGCCATAACTGACCTGTTACCACTGCCACACTTTTGCTCTTTTGTTCTTTGGCTCTTTTAGCTCTAGTGGTACAGATTTATGTGCTGATTTCCAAGTGTCAGAAACTCTGCTGGCAGCTGCTGGGGAGCTTGACTGAGCAGTCACCCTGCCAAGGGCAAGGCAAAGGCATACACACTCAGAGCCCATGCATTTCCAAGCTCTCAGGACTTCCCACCATTCCTACACATGAATTGCTGACTGTGGACTTTCTCTCCCCTTTCTTTTTTTCCTCCAGGAACTAAAAACTTACTAGGTCTGCATTCGTTTGAAATCAGGTTTCAAAATGTAGCACAATTCAGGTCATGTCATGGGCCATTGCACCTTGTCTGTCCTAAAGCAGGGATAGTTGTGTAGCAGGTGCAGTCGGGATTTTTTTGTCCAATCACTCCCAGACTCGTTTTGCTTTACTGGTAGCCACAAAGCTTAGTTTACTCCTTCTCAGCTCCTCTTGGTGGACTCCAGTCATGTCACCCAGTTTCTAACAGATACCTGAGTCTGTACCAGACACCTGACCCGGTGGGGAGCTGTAGTTGCCTCCAGAGGACAGTGCAGCTGTCCTGGCCTAGCCATGCAGCAGTCTCTGAGGCTGCCCACTCCTTCCCCTCTGCTTGAAAGGACACCAGCAGCTCCAGCTTTGCTGCCATTACAGCCACGATTTACACTTCCCAGAGACCATCTTTTGCTGGAGGCAGTTCATGTGCTGACATGTGAAGTTGCAGAGGATGAGTCTCTGCTCCCTTCTCCCCTTGCCAAGGTCCACCCAGCTCTCAGCACTTCTGCCTTTTGATCGGGGTCTGTCATTCATTGACAAAAGCAGGTAATTTTTAAGTGCTCATGGACAAAAGAAGCCAAGAGCAAATGCCCAAGGCTGCAAGTACCACAGCCTTGGGGTGGAGATCGAATTGCAGGACACCCTCCATGCTGAAGAAAGGCTTCTTCCAGCTGCACACCTCTGTGCTTCATTTCACAATAAACATCACATTTTCTCCTCATGGGACCTACAACGGGCTTTCCCTAAGGCAGGTTTACTCCAAGATGTCCTCTGTCACACATACTGGAGAACAAGTGGTTTAGGTTGGAAGAGACCTTAAAAATAATGCAATTTCAGCCCCCTGTCATAGGCAAGGACACCTTCCACAAGACCAAACCTGGTCTTGGACAGTCAGGGATGGGGCATCCACAACCTCTCTAAAAAACCTGTGCCAGTGCCTCACCACCCTCACAGACAAGAATTTCTTTCTAATATCTAATAAAATCCTCCTCTCTGTCAGTTTAAAATTGTCTCCTTGTCCTAAATCTCTTGGAGCTGTGTATTTCTGCCTTGCAGTCCTGCATCATGTTGGTGAAAGTTCTTTACTCCCTAAATCTCTAGAGAGATATGAGGGAAATAGGCCTGGCATTTCCTGATCTTATATTAATGGCCACTTTATAAAACTAATTGCCAGCTGATGGGAATTGTGTTAATCCTCTCAGGAGAGAGACAAATGAAGGGAAGGCCTGTGGAAACAGAACCACCCTTTTATTGCTGCAGAGCCCTGCATAGGTAGGATGAGGATAGGTGCTGGATTACTTTTATTACTGTGGAATAGTCTTTGTATATCACTTGTGCAGGTGCTATGTACACACAGAAAACTGTTTGAAAGATAACAGGTAAGAGCAGACTGGGAGCTGGTGACTTCCCCACCAGAGCCCCCATCCCCTGCCAGCTCCCTGGGGAAATAGGACCTGCAGAATTGCAGTCTTGAGGGTAACTTTTCTTTTGGGGGGAAATGCAGGGTTTTCAAAGCTGCCCTGAACACAGTGGTGCAGTTTCCATTCACGAGGCATTTAGCAGTGCTGATCAATAGCTACGTGCTCTATGTCAAGGCTTGAATTTTCGAATTAAACTTGCCCAGGGAATGATTTTTCCCTGTAAGGTGTCCTGCAATACTGCAAATCCCAGCTCCAGGATAAAATCATGTTTCAAAACCACACTGTACCTTATGTGTCTTTGTAGTCCAGGGGGCAGAAGTATTTACTTACAGAGATAACAGTGAAGACTGTGTTCACCACTCCAACACCGATGGTTGCATAAACTGGTTGGTCAACTCCAGCTCTCTCGAAAATGTTTGTGGAGTAGTAAAAGATCTATCAGAATACATCAGGATGAAGGATTAGGCAACAGGGCTGTTGAAACTTTTTGTTCTGATGAGGGAAGAGTTGCACTTGCTTGGCTGAGATGTGGCGTAATTTAATTATGATTAATTTTTCAACTTTTAATGGCTTGTTTTAATAATTAAAGCTGAACATTTCATAGGAGCCTGAGGGAGTTAAAAATTCTGTTGAAATTCCCCTCTTGAGCTACTGCATTTGCACATTAAATCTGTTTTCTTCTATGTAGTCTATGTTTAATCTTAAAATCCAGATCACCAGCACTGAGCACTCAAGGTATCTTAGTATGGTCGAGTTTTACATTAATTTTAAAATATTCTCATTGCAATGACTCCTATTTCTTTCTTCTCTCCAAGAATAAGGTGATTCCTTTCTGGTGAGAGTTAAGGACAGGAGGTCAAGGGTGGCTGGTGGATGGGGTGGGCATGGTCTGGAGCCAGGTAGGCTGGGCATCCCTGTGTGCTCCTTAATGCTTCTGGGTGTCAAATTGTGATTTCTAGTATTCCAGGAGGTGATACAAAAATTGTTTAGCTAAAACCAGCTAGGAAATAGTGATTCTGGGATGAGCATGATGTCATTAAAGAGAGCAAAGTGCTGACAGACTTGGGTAGGGGAGGGCCATGGGAGGGCTCAGCATGGGCCTGCTGGTTTTGTGCTGGACTCCCTCCCACCCTTCTCCCCTCCTGCCCTCCCAGAGTCAGCTTGGCAGGGACCCAGGAGCCCACAGCAGCCATGGGAAAGGGTTCTTCTATGTCTGCATGGCTTGGATGGAGCCAAAGCTGCCTTTTCATACTCAGCATGGATCACTTGAGAGACAAACATTTTGGGGAGACTCACCGCATTGATTCCTGAGAACTGCTGGGATATTTGCACCATCAGTGCCACGATGACAGCTTGCCTGTACTTGGAAGAGGTGAAAAGCTGTCTTATGGAGACTTTCTTTTCACTAGCAGCTTCTTGCTTTTCCTTTTCCATCTCTTCAATCTCTTTCATTGGATCACAGTTTCCTCTAAGCCTTTTCAAATCTTAGGTAAAAAAAAAGATTGACATTTTATTTTCAATAGTAGGTAAGTTGTATGTGTATGGACAAGAATCTCTTTAGGCAAAACTCAAGGTAAGCCAAGCACATGGACAGCTGCATCCTCTTGCTCTGAGGGTTCCTATGGCACATCTGAGGATGCAGCAGGGTGCATCTGCTTAGGGGCAGCAGCACATCACTCTGCAACAGCCCTGAGATCACTCTCAAGCCTCATCTCTCAGCAGTGCTCTTGGTCCCATGCAAATGTCTCAATAGTTTTTGATCCAGAGCTAGTTTGTATCTTAGCAGCTCAGAGCATGAGATGGAACAACCACAGTCACACGTGAGTCCTCAACCAGGCTTTTCCTTCTCTGTTTTGCACTATGTAAAGTATAAAAGCAACGCTAGGCAAGCCCAGAATATCTTCCTTACTTTTTTTAGCTTCCTCCACCTTCCCCAGTTTGATGTAAAGATATCGGGGGCTCTCAGGGCACAGTAAGAGCAGGAAGAACTGCAGCAGGGCAGCCACGCCAGACAGACCAAGGAGCAGGGGCCACATCTCGTCATTGCCCAGAAGAAAGTCTAGTCCAAGGATCTGGAATAATTGAGGCATATTTGAATGGATCATTTTGCACCCTAAGAAGAGAAAGCAATTGACCACTGTGGTGTTCTGAAGTGACAAGCTGGGGAAAAACTAGAGGCAAATACCAACACTTTTTCTGGATGTTGGTTTTCTGTATACTTATGTGCCCATCTGTTGTGTAACTGGGACTTGTGCCATGGTGGGCAATACTGGTAGGGGCTTTGGGCTCCCTACTTCCCTGATGAAGCTATTTTTGAGAACCTGATTATCAGGTTCAGGATCCAGCCTGACACTGATGAGGTGCTGAAAACAATTCTTCAGGGAGATAAGAAATTGTTTGCAGAAGTATCTTATTTCTTGGGGAGCTGTCTTTGTTAAGACACCTCTTACTGAAGGCAGGGGTTTAACCCCATTAAAACAGATTGTTTTGCACACTCCTTCAGTTTTGGGGTGGAATGGTGAATAATAGCTCAGTATATCATTATGGTCTTCCTATTTTCTGAAACACCCTCTCTGGATGTGTGTGTTTTCCTGCTTACCTGGCTGAAGAGGATACCCGTGACGATCGCGAGCTGGTGCAGCGTCCCCAGCGCTCCTCGAAGGGCGGTGGGAGAGACCTCGCTGACATACATGGGCACGAGTCCAGAGGAGAGCCCTGCACCGAGCACACGTGGGTGTCACCTCTTCTAGACAAGGCTCAGCAACCAGCAGAAACCACTTCCCAAATGGGAAAGGAAGATGGAGCCTGTGTGCTGCACCCACACCCCACCAAGCCCCTCACGCCTGGCTGGGAACCACCTGCACCTTGGAAAGGTGCCGGGATGTCCCTGCATTGGGGAACCTTTCTGCTTGAACACACATGTCAGAGCACAGAGCAGGGATTATCTGCTGGGAGAAGTTATCACAGGGCAAAGAGCCTTCTTAAAACTTGCCTTGAAACCTCAGAGTGGAGTATTGTATTTTCATACCAGTAACAGTATAAAAAGCTGTTATTTCCAAGCTGATTCAAATGTAATTCTCAATTATTTGCTGGCTATATTCTTTTTGTGGGCAGAGTGGTCCTGTGCTCTCTGTCTAGGGAATCTGTTAACCAGCCTGGCTAGTGGTGTGCTCTTACAACAGCCACCAGCAAGATCCATCCTCGAGATACAGAGGGACCTGCTCCTTTCAGGATGTGTAAAATGAAGATATGATGGGGCCAACCCAAACACTTCTGGGAAAGATCCTAGATCAAGAAGGGCAGACATAGAAAGAAGAGGGAAATTCCCACCTGTGAAACCCTTTCTGAACTAAGAAAAGGATTTAAGAAAAAGGGAAACTCTGAACTGCAGCCCTGGACAGACTACCAAGGAGCTGCTTTCAGTGGCTGACCCAGGCTGGACTCACCGCAGTACAGCCCCGTGACTGCTCTCCCAGAGATGATGAGGATGTGGGATGGCCCAAATTTCGCCAGCCCCATGAGAAGGTTCCCAGCAATGGAGAGGATGTTCACCACCAGCATGGCTTTCACTCTGCAAGGCAGCAGCAGCACAGCTCCTCTGGCACCTCACTCAGCCAAAGCAGCCATTGCAACACACAAGAGGAACTGTGAAGTCACTTAATCAGTACTACAGGGAAAAACAATGATAGCAGGCACTGCAAAATACAGGGACCAGGGAACAATCAAAGTAGTTAAAATTATATTATAAATGATACTTTACATCCTGTGCAAATATCATGCAGATGTCTTCCTCTTCCCTTTGCCATGGAAAGAAAAGGGGGAATTCAGTACTTAATCAAGGCTGCTCATTAGCTGCTGTCTGAAATACTGAAGTTGCAATAAAATGTCCGATTTGTAACAGGATTTTAAAAAGCCCAACCTCTGTGATGGTTGAAACAGTATTTTGGAAATTGGGAGGGTTATTTTTCCTTTTTGTCCTAAATTGCTGAAAACAACACAAATTGTATTTCTAGAGGGAGGAAACAGTTCTATGGGAAGGTTTGGGCTGTGGCACAGTCAGAGCACACACGAGCCTCTCACCTCCCGAGGCGGTCGCCGATCCAGCCCACGGTGAAGGAGGAGACCATGCCACCGATGGCGAACACGGACACGGACAGGGACCAGTACATGGTGAGGATGTGTGGGGAGGTAGCGGGGTCCTCGCTGATGCCAGCTGGGGGTGGGAATGTGCCCTCTGTGCCAGCCTGGAGGAACGTGCCATCCTCCCCAGAGGCATTGGTGGTGTATGTGTCCGGGGAGACAATGCCCAGCACGCGCCCGTAGTGTGCTTCTATCACCTGTGACAGGTAAAGAAGAAAAACACCATCAGCTCAGATCTATAACCACCCCAACCCCTGTTTTGGATTTTATTCTGCCTCAGAAAAAGATTTGCATTGCAGGCTCTGCAGGGATAAAATCTTGGGGTCCCTCAGCTCCACGACACCCAGACCCCAGCAGGGAGGGGCCACAAGGGCAGGCACAAAGCATTCCCCGACCCGGGCTGGGCTGAGCAGGGTGTTTGAATTTGGCACTGGATTTGCGGAGGGGTGCAGCCCCTTGGCTTGGGCACAGGGACCATGTTGCAGTGGGGACAGCTCCATTATGTGCAGAACCCCACTCCTTTCCCTGGGGAAGTGTCAATGGAGGGTCCTGGCTGTGTTCTCACCCCACTGCCCTGTTGTGGGGGCTTTGTTCTGTGGGAGAAACTGCCTGGGAAGGGACAGAGTCCTCCAGAGGGCTTCTGCAAAGGACAAACTGGCCCTGGCTGCCCCGAGGCCGTAGTTCCTTGGCCATGCACAGCTTGAGAACTCAACTTACCTTCTGGGGGGCGTTAATGACCCCCAGGCTGTAGCCATACTGAAAGAAGCCCAACACTGCAGTGAAGACGGAGAGGACCAATGTTCCCGTGAGGTGCTGGGGCAGGAAGCAGAGAACAACCTCATCGTACTGTCCTAGCAGTGCCAAAACTGGGGGAGGGCTGCATCCCACCCCGATCCCAGGGGACTCCTCTGCCCAGTTGGCTGGGACAGTGGCATCCAGGGATGCTGCTGCAGCAGCACAGGTGGTTGGCTTGCTCCAAAGGAGAAGGAAAGCCCATGGGCACAGGCAAGATCAGGCCCCCAGGGCAGAGTGGTGTTGCCCTACGATGGCAGTCCAGCTCTCCCTGCTCCACTGCCCATCCTGGCCCTGGAGCTCGTGGGAGCCAAAGCTCTGCCCAGTAGAGCAGTGCAAAAAACAGAGCAGCAGCAGCGTGTTGTTCCCCATCCCCATCCCTGGAGCACAGCAGCTGGGAAAAAAACATCAAAAGGGTGTTTTTTAGCAGTGCTGCTTAAAGCATTTCTTCCTTCCATCACAGTTAAAGTTATCCAATGAGCCAACAGAGCTCTTAAAAATAAAAATAGCCCCTTGACTCTTTTCCCCTTTGCTCCTGTTTTGGCAAGGGATTTCTCAGTGCTAGGGTCCTGCAGAAATTCTAATAATTTCACTAGAAAGTCTAGTGCAAGAATATCAGAGAGCCATGATTACCTTCTCTGTCTGCATATTCCTTTTCTCATCCACCCCGCAGCTCCTCCGCTCTCCTTCTGGGAACAGCCACTGTCCTGGGCTGCAGAGCAAGGTGAGGGCTTGGGCAGGGAAGGAAGGACAGCAGAGCTGGGATGGAGGCAGGAAAACGGGCTGGTGCTTGGAGAGATGGGACTATATCAACTCTGGAGTTAATGAGAAACCCAAGTCTTCCACGCATTATTTGGCCACTGCTCAGCTCAAAGCAGGCCCCACCAATCCCCGTGTTTGGGACACACACGAAACAATGAGAGACCTGCAAAGACGTAGATTGGGTCTGGAAAATTCAAATTATCCAGCTGCAGGGCTGGTCTGGGGCTGTCCCTCAGCTGAACAGTTGGGAATGGGACGTGCCAGGGGCTTGAGCCTGTTTTGAGATGCCCAACACCTACCTTGGCTTCTGTGCGGGGTGTGCATGTCACATCACAATCCTCTTGCTGAACCGGGGAGAAGAAACCTCTCCAGCACATGTAGCAAAGCAACAAGAAAATGACTAAGAGTTTTATTTAAATAGCATTTAGCACCTGCTTTAATATATATTCCTGTGTGTATATCACATAGGGAGCCTCATATAAACACAGATGTGTGCAGGTCTCTCTGTGTAGCCATACACAGACACCTGCATACACAGAGTCCCCTCAGCAGGCAGCTCTAATGCCTGTACACACCTATCAGAGCAGATTGCTGTGTGTGTATATGGACATAGAACACAACAAAATTACCCAGAATGTTACAGTAAAAGAGGCTTTCATTAAAAATCCTACAGTGGTGTGAACAGTGAACCTTTCAGCACCACCAGCTGATGGCTGTGGCTGGTATCCAAATATTGTGGATTCTGGGAAATACTGCCAATGCTGCCGAATACTACTGCTGCTGCCAAATATTTTTGCGTTAGCTCACACGGCTTTCACGAACTTTGCACATCTGCACAGGCTGGTCTGAGCTGGTCTTGCTCAGGCTTGGGATTCGCTGTCCTTGACGTGGTCAGAGAGAGGAGCTGCAGGGCCGGGGTGGGCGGGGGGACAGTGGCATCCTTAGCGACAGCAGACCGTGCCAAAGTCTGAGTCAGCCTGGAAGGTGATTAATGCTGATTAAAGTCATTATCTTCCAGATCAGCCCCTGATGTGTCCGGCAGCCAGGCTACAGCACTTATTGGATGATGCTCTCAGTCAGCCAGGCTTCACATGGGCACAAAATGTACTTTCTACAGAAGAAGAGCAAGGGAAAAAACAACAAAGATGACTGTAAGACCACTAATCTTTGCACTGGTCTCCAGTAAAGTAAAACTTTAACTGGGAGAGGAAAGTTCATTACATTAAGCAGGCTTTGATTCCAGCCACAGCACCTGCATTCCCCTCCAAGCCTGGTGTAGTTGTGACAGGAAGGGCCCCAAGGCTGAGCTTTTTAGTTTTCCCTAATGTTTGTCCTTCCTGCTGAGATCTTTGCCAATGGTGCTTGTTTGCTCGCTGTGTGTGGATACCCAGGCATTTACAAGCAGTTTCTTTGCATTGCAGTTAAATACCTTCACAATGGGACTGTCAGGATTTGACAACTACCAGGCTGCTAAAGCTGGAATCAGAAAACAAATGGGGGCCCTGACCCAATACCAAACCTTCAGGCACTGTGAAAACCTTGGCAGGACAGATGTCCCCCTCCAAGATTCCCATGTACCCCTCAGGGATCCCCATCCTATTGCAGGTGCCTGGCATAAAGAGGGTGATGCTTTCCCTCCCTATTCTTCCCAGATTACTGGAACAGGAGAGAGCAAAGGCCACCAAGGAGCAGGGTGGCCTTTCCATGCCCACTGCTGCTTAGAGCAGAACCTTCCCATAATCTGGCTTCCTGGGGACGGGGTGTGGAGCAGCTGGGCAGTGCTGGGAGGCATGGGTGAACATCACTCACCTCCCCAGGAGCAGCCCTTCGACTTCCATGAAAACTTTGGATGCCAAAGGCTGGAAGCCCTGCAGCCACACATATGCCTTGGCCAGGTCTGCTGGCAAAAGGAAGGAGTTATCCTGGGGTTTTCCCACCCCTCCCTGGCCCCTCTTACCCTCCCTGTCAGGCAAGATGCTGCAACCCAGTGCCAGGGCTGCCTCACCTCTGCCTTTCAGCCCCTGGCTGGTGCCAGCTGGGCTGTGACACACTCCTCCACAGCTTGGCCCCAGGCAATTTAGTGTTTAACATATTGAACTCTCAGTGGCACTAACAGACTCCAGACTCTGTGATTCTCTGAACAGGGGGCTGGATGTGGATGTGGTGACTAGCAGAGCTAGCTTTAGGCTGGTCCCGAGGCTCACACATGGGAAAGGTTGGTGAGTAAATCTTCCTCTCACTGCAATCACTTTCCAAAGTGGCTGATTGTCAGCTTGGTAGTGAGAAGCAGTGTTCCTACAGGATAAAGAACCAGGCCTGGCTCCACCAGGATGAATGACCTACCCATCAAATCTCTTGTGCATCTGATAGCCATTTGTGATCACAGTCCAGAGGGTGCAGAGTGCCACAGCACAGCCCAAAGCAACAGGTGAGCCTGGCCAGGCAGTGTTTAGGTGATGGACAAACAACAGGGTCTGCACTATTGCTAATGCTTTATTTAAATAATAAAGTGCAAGAACTGTGCATAATGTTAGACAGAATTGCCACGCTTATTGCCTGCTCTGTGTTGTGTGTAGTGTAATTGGTAGTGTTGGTATCTATGTGTGATAAAAGCAATGGGCTAAAGTTTATGGTGGGGTTCTGCTTTTGAACAGGTGAACACTCTTGTCACCTCAGTGCAAGGAATTCAAAGATTCCAGAGGGGCTGTGAGGCTATCCCCAGGTGCTGGGGCAATTTGCACATCTATTTTACTGCTCTGGGTCATTCAAAGACAGCTTTGATGTTAAAAAAAAAGAGGAAAAGTATGCCATAAGCCAAACCAAACCAAACCAAAAAGGCAGATCTGGTCTGCAAGACGCTGGCTCTCTAAGAGCAGGCTGATGTAGCACATCAGTGGCTGGCACAAAACCAAAATTATGTTCACTCATCTCTCTAAGCACATCAGCTGGAGCAAGCACCAGTGCTGGGGCCACATGTGAGACAGCAGCTGAGGCTGATAAAACACATTTAAGAGAGAGAATTCGGTGCATTTACAGCACTGCTGTAAAGATACCAGAGGTTAATGAGCCCCTTCCCACCCCCCAGCTCTGGGTGGTGCAGCATCTCCCAGAAGAGAAAAACTGGGAATCAAACCCAGCAAACCTCTCCAGCTGCAGGTCCCAACTGCAGCACAGGACACAGATGCTGCAGGGCAGCAGCAGCTGTGACAGGCATCCTGTGCCAGGAAATGCATCCTGATTGCTGAGGAATCTCTGCTGGATCTCCTCAGAGCCCTGCTGGGTGGGTGGCTTAGCCCAGACACAGGCAGGGTGTGATGTGGAGCTCCAGCCCACTCCTTTGGGAACAGGCAGGTTCAGTCCCTGCTGGCCTGCACGATGCTCACGCTGGCCCCAAGTACAGAGCATCAAATTGTTGCACAAGCAGACCTTAAGTGGGCTCACATTGAGACAATGAACTGCAGCTTAACTTCAACCATGTCCAGCAACCAGTCCAGCTCTGGGGTTGGGGCCAGTGTCACCTGGAGCATCCCTGTTCTGTCCCAAAATATGTAGTGCCAACCCCCAAACCACTGCACAAGAAAAAGGCCATTTGATAATCATTCTGAAACAGGTTTGAAAAGATTAAATTCCCACAAGTAGCTGCTACAGCCTTACCTCTGAGCATCCTTTACCTGGCAGTGGTACCCAGCATCTCCCCAGGGTGGTGGAGCTAACCATGGCCCCTGCATGGCCTCATGCCAGCTCCCAGGGCTTTTCTTCCATTTACCATGACTCATCCCTGAAGTTATACAATTTCATAGCAACTCTATAAATAACTGAATCTGCAACAGGTTCAAGCAACCCCTGCATGCACAGACATTACTGCTTTTTCCTCCTGCGACACTGCACAGCTGAACACATTTCCTTTCCTGGGCAAAAAGTCCCAGAAACAGGATTTTAAAATGAGCTGCAGGTTTTATTTCTTCAAACACTACTAATAAGTAGTTTCTGAGAGCATATATCAACCATAAACACATTTTACTAACAGCAAAAGAAAAGCAAATCAAAGTTAGTAACATTTGGAGGGGAAATGTCTTTGTAATAGCCATGGGTTGATCTGGTAGAAGAGGAGTTTTCAGGTGGTGATGGTCCATCAAAATATCCCTTGGCCACTGCTCACTGCTGGCCAGCATTACAAAGGACATGTCCCACCTCCCTGCATTCATCCTGTTCCAAAACCACCTTCCCAAGAGTCTCCAGACAAAGAGCATTGTGACTGGGAGCCCTGAAAATCCCCTTTACCTCCATGTCCTCCAATACCCCAGTTTTTATTCATCCAAACATAAAAGGCATGGCTTAATGGTGAAGTTTTGTGTTTTATTGTGGTTGGCACCAGAAAAGCATTTGCTCTGTGTTATCTCCATACACACATGCCACAGACAAGACTGTAGTAATATTGGCTTCTGTGATTTTTGTTTCAAATTATTCTGAGATTTAAAAAAATACATTCACAAACCACCTGAGTCGTTTAAACTCAATGACTGCCTGCTATTTCATCACTGTATGCAAAAACCAGTAATAACAAAAGTCATCCAAAGCTGTGCATTTGTCACTTGAAGTAGAACAAAAAACACCCCAAAACAGTTATCAGTTTGCAACACAATAAAAGCTCTGGGCTTTATTTGTTTTTTATTTTAACCACAATGAAAATACAAAGAGCTGGTGGCAATCAGTGTTTGTGATGGGATTTGAATACCATTATCTAATCCTGTGGCCATCCCTACACTCTCCAGGCTGCACCAGCCCAACAGGAGGGTGTCTGGTGCTCAAGAAAGCACCACAAAGCCCATCCCACCTGTTTTTCTCTGAACTCCACATCCTGGGAGTCCCACTGCTGGCAATCCCTGCGGTACCAACCCTGACACCCTGCCCACAGAGCGCTTCAGGTGAGGGTGGCCCGGCCCATCCCATCCCCACCTCCCCACATCACCTCTTACCCTTGATAAAGATTCGAGTTTGACCAAGTCCTGTTGATTTAATCATTTTTTAATAAAGCCATCGTTACTGAGTACACCAAGATTGCCAGTTAAGCTCTCTATATGTCGCTGGAGGTAACAGCGCTGTGATCGACAGCGGAACGGAAAAAAAATAAAACTAAACAAAACCAAAAAACAAA